AGCTTTATTTTTTTCTATATCAGCTCATAATGCCAACGTTGAAAGAATTTTTCCTTTAATCAATAGTTAAATGATAGGAATAGATTATCCGTGTCATTCTGCAAAGATTTCTATAATTTTTTAGAGAAAAAACCAAATATATTATAAAAATATGGTATAAAAATTATATTATTTGTGATGTGAGTTATATGAATTATATCTAATAAAGAAATAATTGGTTATTCATTATTTTAACAAATTTTTCATAAGTTTTCACCCTTGAGAATTTCATATAAAATCTATACATATCTCAAAAAATCATTTTAATGCTTTTAAGTTCATACCTCCTATCATAGATTTGTATCAAATATGGGGCGAAACCTTATTGTATCACAAAAACTCTGTGGTGGTCACCCCATTGCAATTGGCTATTTAGACGATTATTAGCAAAAATAATTGCCATAAGTTTAAATTAGGATTCAGTGTGAAGTCAAAATAGCATGCCATTCATATTATATTCTAAATCCTCTTCCTAACATGGATTTTATCAAAGTAGACTTTAAAAATGCTTTTAATAATAAATTTCGAGAACATTTCACTGTTTTACTCTTAAATTCATAGAGACATACTGTGACATTAAAACTCTCCTTTATTCAGCTTTCATGTCAGAGACTCTGATAAAAGGATCCAGCAGGGGAGAACATGTCCTCTCATATTTTACCTTGGTATTCGTGATCTCATCAAAAATAAAATAATTGAAGTTTAAATTTCTATAAAGCCAAAAGACTCATTCATAAATCCAAATTGCTCCAATGATAACAATTAGTGCAAAATAACAGACCCATTATATTTCATAGTAGTGATAACTCATAAAGTATGATGTTTTTAATTTAACGACTCCAAGGGTGTAACTAAACTGAGAATGATATAAATGCAAATATTTACTTATATAACCTTTTTAAAATATATAATGTACAAAATGCAAGTGGCTATGCTATATTTCTTGTTTGATAGATTTCTTTCTATTGATAATTTATCTAAATAAATTTTTTTAGATTTTATAGTTATGAAAAATGAATATTCAGCCTGCAGCCCAATATCTTAACGCCTTCTGATGAGGAATCTTGGGTTGAGGATATAAAAGATGATTTTCTTAGTATGAATTGATTATTTAAAAAAATAATATGACTAAAAGAATAAGTATAAAAAATTTAAGTTTGGTTGGGTCATTTTTGTAGCATTTGAAATGGTATCCAAGTGCAAATGTTTGAGTTTGGTATGATGATTACCATTGGACCGAATACGCTATAATCATTTTTATTGGACAAATTATCTTTAAAAAACACTATTGGCTAAATTTGATTGACGTTTTTTGAGGATTATTATAATAATACTCTCAATTTCTTCTTTACTCTCAGTGACATTATTTTTTATAACTTAAAATAGAAGAAATAATTTTCATGGAACCGTTAACGCTATATATCTATGCTCTCGGCCCTGCTGATTCACAAGATAGATTTCAAATAAATGAAATATATTTGAATCGCCATGATAAGGAATGGTTTCAAAATTCATTTAAGAAATTATTAAATGACACAATTCTATAAATATATAAGGATGAATATTCATCTTAATTTACATTATATACGATTGCATTATTTATACAACTATACTGTTAGGAGTTGAAAATTTATATGAACACGAATTGAAGATGCCAATTTCATTTATTAAATATAATCAAAATCTAAAATAACATAAATAAACTAAAACTTAAAAATATAAAATCAAAGTCAAACTAAAAATTATAAAAAAAAAGATTTTCCTTTCTTTTTCTTCTTGATATTACATTTTTTATCTCTATATTTATACTACTAAAATTTACATACCATCGATATTATTTTATATAATTGTCTTTAATTTTCTTATAATTTAACCTTTCTATTAACTTTACATTTTAAACATTTTATCTTTACAAAATTTATATTCAAATTTCTTTGAATTTATAATTAATTCAATACACGTATTCGACACCCCTTCCTTTAAATCGCTCAAATCCATTCTGAACTGCCCATACAGGATAACTTATTATACGTGATGACTGATTCTAGACATTGAGTTATCCCCATCTTTCGCGAAAGCATCTCTTTTGTTCCATAATGTCTACGATAAAGATCTCATATAACGATAACGCTCTTTTGTAATGATACTGACTCTTGTCATGATCCTAATGGTACCAATCTCTTGTAACAATAACCATTTCTTGTAATAAAGATCTCTTATACGATAGCGATTTCTTGTATCTTTTGATCCAAAATAAAAATCCGATCTCTAAACGAGCTCGATTGCGGCATGAATTTTTTATTGATGAAAGCCGTTTCTCGTCCTGAAGATTTGGTTAATCAACAACCTAATATTTTGCTAAATATTATCAATTTAAATAACAGTTAATCTTTAATAAAAATTGTAACGAATTTCTTTTAGCTAAACGATCACTTGTACGTATAACGATCTCTTGACGAATTCCTTCTAACTATAACGATCTCTTGTGACTAAAACGACTAATTCTATACTTTTTTGAACTACAACCATTTGCCTGGATATTGATAATTGTTTCATTGATCTCATTCTTTGTCTTAGTGTCGGTGGTCATTTCATACATCCCCTTCCCCCTTTATTTAGAAGGTATATTTTCATGTTTGCTCATATAAATATAATGATAATCGTTATTTAGAAAATTAAATGAGTGGCATGTTTAAAATCTTATTTTCTTCTTACTTTTTTGGATATTTATCCGATACTTTTAGGCCGGTTATATTAAGCCGACTTAGGACATAGCTTTAGGATTTTATTTAATTGCTAACCTATTGATTTTTAAAGATAGTTAAAATAAAATCTTTAACCTGCAAGCCAAGAAAACTTGAGCCAAGCCTTATTTTCAAATAATTATATAAAATGGCTTATTTAATATTCATATGCTACTTATTCTTCTAATTTCCCCATGAAACCAATTGCAAAATGATTCCATGATAAATCAACAAAAGGTAGATTTTCGGACTACACTTTTTAAAATGATTGAGACTTGTCATGATATTTATTTATTAGTTTTATTAATGTAACTAATTACCTATAAACAGTTACATTTTTAGAAAGGCTAGAATTTTAACCGTATATTGTTGTTTAATTAAATATTAACAAACTATCCACTTTTTTTCTAAAATATAACTTACCAACTTTTTTGAACTAATTTTTCAAGTTACTCAATTTACCTTATATAAAAAATCAACCAAGTAAAATGAACTAGTTACGTGATGATATTTGTGATTCCTAGCCAAAAATCATTTTATTTTACAACACTATTATTTATAATTTATATTTAATTAAAAAATTTAGCGCCCTAGCTCAACCAGAACCAAAAGGATATAAGCCTATAAAGTTGCAAATCGTGATAAATCTATTTTTCCAAAATTATTTTTGCTTTTTATAGCCCTTAAAATTCTAAAGAAATCAAAAAGTATTTTTGGTGTTTGACACTCATCAGTATTATTATTAAACGAATAATCGAATCTACTAAATCATGACCCACTCGGATCCCGAGTTATTGAGTCAATTTAATACCCATTTAGTCGACTAAACCGACTTTATGTATAATAAATAGTATTAAATAATTAACAATCATAATTAAAATCTTTTTCCATAAAAATAAATTGAACAAAACTAATTCATAAACAATGTGATTTTGAAATTATTATATTATTAGCGATAGTCAGTCATAGAATAACGGGGTCGGAAATTTTCTTTTTTATGCCTCAGAAATTTATCCTTATTTTGATGAGAGTTTATTAAAAAATTTCTTTATATGCACAATAAAAATATTTCAACCAATTACACTTTTGTATTTGTAATTTATTATCTTAAAAAATTCCCCTTGATAGGTGAGGTTTTGCTTAATTTATTTTCAAGAGAATGTGAATTTAATTAAATACCGATATCGTTGAATAAAAATATAGGGATTATTTTTAGGGTGATAAATATTCAACCTGATATAAGGTAGTCCGTGTGTAAATACGGGATTTGAAAGAAACGATAGAAAAGGATGAAAATTTTGATCTGACTTTACTAGTGCTTAGTATATATATATATATGTGGGAATAGAAGTTAAGGGTAATCCAAAAATTACGATATGGGAGGGGGGCATAAAATACCTTCGATATGTCCATGAATAAAACATTGGAATGGAAAGAAACTTTATACGATGATAATTAAAGTAAGAAAAATTAATTAAAGCAACATTTAAAATAAACACATCTTATATCATATTTAATCTAGCTAAATATTTTTTCTTTTATTGGTATTTAAGAAAAATAAATTTCTTTTATTTTTGTAATAATAATTTACTGGTAATTCCTAATTTATATACATATACTATTTTTTAACAATACTATACAATGAGATTTGTATCAATATTAGCCTTCTTAAATTATTTTAATGTTTCAAAAAAAATCGTCTCAATATTAAAAAATAATATCTTTCCCCTCCTCCGTAGAAAACCTGGCTACGCACCTGTTAAGCGCCCAAAATAATTTCCTTCACAAATTAATTTTTTTTAAACCGAAATAATTAATTGGGTATCTTAAAATAACTTCATATTTAAAATTTTAAGGGCTATACAGATTTTTGATTCTATCATAAAAACTTTTGTAATTAGATTCATGAAAATCACGATTTGCGCGATCCTTAAGGCATATATCTCTAAATCTGATTAACGCTCTATAATGTGAATTTTATTAAAATTTATAATATAATAAAGTATCATGCAAGGTTTCATTTATTTCAAATTGTATAAATTGATTTCACATGGAATCTCCCAAATGTAGGCCAGGCTAATATATATTTTTAAAATCCCAGCCTAATTTGAAAATGGAAAATTTTTAAATTTTGACCGCAAGGGTTAAAATTCTACCTTTACAGGTTTCTGATTACAATATTATATTATAAATTTTGAATAATATGCATAACCATAGGGAAAAAAAACAGTCACGTTGTGGAGCCATAAAAATTTTGAATCATGCACTAATGAAATCAAAAGTCATCGCTTGTTCTGAAAATGACGTCATTGAAAATGATATATCCAATCGATGTTGTAATAAGTTTGTTGAAATTTTGGGGCTGAGAACCATATTCCCTATTTTTATGAAAACTCCAAATCTAACAAAAAACAAAGTCGGTTTATCTAAATTTGAAACGGAGGAACATATTATATCAATAATTGCTTCACTTTCCAAAGGATGTACTGGACAGGCAAAGCAACGATTTTTAACTAAATTCATTGAAAACGATTTATCTAAAGTTTTTTTGAAAAAAAATTTGTAATGTTTAAATATAATATAGGTCGATCGTTTGGTTGAATTTCATTTTTCCTACCTAAGCAAAATTCTAAAATCGGATAATGAGTTAGAACTTCAGAAACAAGTAAATCATTTTTATATTACATTTACACTAAATACAAAAAACTTATCATATTAATTAGTGCAATAATTATAACATCAATTATAATGGCGTTTCGTTACTTACTTTAAAAAGTAACGAGTAACGCCTTAATTTTTTCGAAGTTTTTTCTTAAAAAATTAATATCGAATCACAAAGTATGTTAATCTATTGTCAATAGTATTTCTTCAGATTGAGATGCCCTAGCTTCAGCATGAAGCATTTTTTACACTAAAGAAAATTAAGAGCACTAAGTCTGCACTTATAGTGTAGATTGTGCCTTGATTCAAATATTGAACCTCAATGTCCAGCAACCCAAATCTAAAAAAACATATAAGGGTAAAAATATGAATTTATATTAAATTTTTGTAAAGATGATCTAATAAGTTTTATCTGAAAATAAAGATTATTCATTAAATATTTTTAATAAATTCCCCCAATATTTATTAAATATAATAGAATTTTTTGCACCAGCTCAACGATCAAAATTTTGAAGATCAATTGTAATTAAAAAATAAGATTACTACAAAAAGAGCTTATATTATTTTTTGTATAATAATATTTTTATTAAGAAAATTTACATAAAATATATAATTTAGTACTTATTACGTAACGAGTAACACGTTACTTTTTTAAATAACGAGTCGTTCCTTTTTTCAAGCGTAACGTTTACAGCACTAATATTTTGCTGAAAATACTATTTCCAAATGGCAGAAAATGATTGATGAAGGTGAAATCATTGACGAATCAATGGAAGAAGAATTTTACTTAAAAAGACTTGAAAATGGATTGTACACTCAACAAATGATTGATTATATTATGATTGAAATCAGCGCATCTGGTGATCCGTCGATAAAAGAAAGGATTATGCAGATTCTATTGTTGCGAAGAGGCTCAATAAAAACTATACGAGACATTATATTAGGTTTTATTTTTTTATTCATTGTATAAAGTCCAACGAATATTATCAGACCTTTATAAGGGGTTGATTGCTCTTAACTTTTGGAAAGAATTGATTATAATTACTAACAAATTTTTGTAACTAATACAATTATTAATTACCAAAAGCGTAACAGGCAATATCTTCGGGCTCTAACATTAATTAACGTCTAATTAATTTTTAGGTAAATGTTGTTTTCATTTTTATTTTTTTTATTGAATCATTTTGATTTTTGTTAACATTTTAATTATTAATTATTTGATATAATTATTAAAATAATGTTATGAAATACAAAATTTTATATCTTTATTTAAAATTTATAAATAAATTTTAAAACTTTTGACACCTACTGATTTTATTTATATAATGAAAATATCAGTTATATAAAATAATGGAAACTCTTACGAAATTTCCGTGTAAGGGTCCCTAGATTATCTCTGCTACGCCTATGCTAATTACTTTTTAAAATAAGTAATTGATTAATTACAAATAGCGCTGTTTTTTGTTAGTAATTGGTAGATAACTAATAACAATTAATTTTCTAAGTAGAATTTATTTGATAACTATCATGATAATTTAGAATTTTTCTATAACTCTTGCTATGGGAGATAAAATTTTGTATTTTAATATTCAACATCCTTAAAATTTGCATTGAATATTAATAATAACAATTTAATTATTAACTACTTATTTTTTGTAATGATAAATTTAAAAAAAAAAAATTTCCCAATCCTGTGAGAATTTATATTTTTATAATTCAATTTTATCAAAAAGATAGTTTGGAATGAGGGAACTTTATGAAAATTTCTTTTAGGTTAATATTTTTAAAGAATATCTGCCTTTACAATTTAAATCTGCCTTTACAATTTAAATTATTCATATGTTTTATATTTTTGTATAAATATTTTTAGAATATGCTGGTAACTTGGGAGAAAATGATAAAGATTTCTCACAAACCTATCAACAACACATATTATATTTAATTGATAAATTTTAACATAATTACATGATTGTAAAGGTTAATATTAATATAACAATAAATATAAATTATACGAGTAATTTTTTCCAAAATGCTTTTCATCTACGTTATTCAAAAGCAATGAGTACATTTTTATAATTAATCGATATATCGGCATTAACTGTTTACTCTATCGGTAAACAGCGGCGTGCAAAATTTCTTTACCTTGAAAAAATATTTTTAATAAAAATTCTGAAATGCTTGAAAAACAGGCTAAAAAGTATTTGAATGAGATCACCATAATTTGACTTGTTAGTACAAACAAGGTCGTCTTTTTTAAATAAGTATATACTTAAAAGCAATAAAAAGTCAAATTTTTTTGTATGTGTCTTAATTGTTCAAAATTTTTGTTTAAGATCTAAATAGAGGGAAAATTGAATAATAAATAGCATAATGATGGAAAAAAGATGTTATTCTGATTAGTAATATGAAATATATACAGTATATAATAAATGTTTTTGTAATAAATTTAATTTGTATCCACAAATACACCTAATTTTGTTTAATTTAATATAAAAGTGTATATACATTACCCCATCCTGATATAATAATTAGATTAGCAACCAATCTTATTTGATTAACCTATAATTAGACCTGTGCGCCGGCCGGCCGTTGGCCGGCCGCCGACCTTTTTTGGTTACGCCGAAAATGCCGCCGTTTAAGAAAATCACGCCGGTGCGCCACCGATTTTCATGTCGGCAGCGCACGGCAGGCGCAGAAATTTCTTTCATATTTAATACCTTTTTATTCTAATAATTATGTCAATCAGGATTTTGATGAATTTTTATTTTCTACTATTTTAAAATGATAATTATATTGGCTCATTATAGAATTCAATCAATCAAAAATCTAAAATTCCAAAAGTTACCATAATTTTACATATTTTTAAAATGGATGTATCTACATTTAATAATTCTATAAATAATTTTAGTATCCTAACTCTGGGGTATAAAAAATCCATAGTCTGGAAATTTTTTGCAAAAGAATTAGAAAAATTATTACTGCTCTAAGATATAAAACTGCAGAAGTTGAATTTGAATTCGAGTAATATCAAAGGAAATGTCTAAGTACAATAGATTTAACATCAGACATGTTAGATCTTGACAGCATTGATCCATACTACCCGTTTTCAAATTGGCAATTCCAATGATAATAATAACAATAATTCCAGATATATGAAAACCTTAAAATTAAATGTCCCAAGCCCAACACGTTGCCATAGTATATTAATTATGTTAGAAAGCATATCTGGATTAAATAAGGATTTAATTAATAATGTTTTGAAAAGAATTGGGAAGCACTTTCCCAAATTATGAATCTGATCTGGTAGAAGAACTATTAGCAACGATTTCCGGCTTGTAATTTGTAAGTAATATTATATAAGTATATTCTTTTATTTTTGATTTAAAATTAACTATGTATTGGCTTCTCTTTTAGAAAAAATTGACAATTGTGTAAAAGTATTTAATAGAGCAAAATTGCTCAGCTTCAGTATTTATAATAAAACATCTTAAACTTGTAGAGAATGATGATAATCAGGTAGTAAATATAGCTAATGAAGATGAATTATTAAATTCAAGTTATTTGACAAAATTGGCAAATAAACATTCAACAAATATAAATTTTCCAAGTTAGGTGACTTAGAACAAGAATGCCACAGTTTTCTTGGAAAACGACATTCACAAGATTGGACGTTCTAATTGGAGAGAAAAGAAGAGTGAACTTCCCAATCTTTCCAGTCTCGACAAAAAAATTCTATGCATTCTGGCGACTAGCACACTCAGTGAAAGAGTTTTCTCTACCGCTGGATTGACGTTAAATTCAAGGAGATCATCATTATGTCCCGAAAATTTAAATAAAATAATTTTTATACAAGATATTATAAAATTACGAAATCGATTTTGGATATAATAAGTTTTCTATTAAATGAATATTAAAAAATATGCCGAGATATCTGTAGAATAGTGTATATTTATTTGTTTTTTTTTTAAAAATTAATAAGCAATTGAAAAAATTTATGTTATAAAAATTTATAACTGCACCGATTTACGCCGATTTTATTGACGGCGGCTAAAAATTGGCGCGCCGCCAGCCATCGATGATTTTTGAAAATTGCGCCGGCCGCCGATAGTTTCGCCGGGGCACAGGTCTACCTATAATATATACAATCTAATACCTCACCTAGTCCAGTACTGTTAATGTATTTCTAGCAATCCGAGGTTTAAGATTCATATCTTGCAAGGTGAAATTTTTTCACTGTTTTTAAAGAATGCATTTGATACAAAATTTTATAATAATACAGTAACTGTATAATTTTTAAAAATATAATTAGTGTTGATAATGATAGTTAGATTTATTGGAGATAAAAATACTATTATTAGTTACTTTCGAATTTGATAAAGAGTGGCATTTTTTTAAATGTAACGTCCAAATTAACTAGTTACATTACAAGTTACTGATTAAATTACTAAGTTATTTTTTAAAATTTTTTATCACTTTTCAAGTTATTAAATTTTAAAACTCGAAAAATCATGCATATGCACTTAAAAATAAAAGAAATAGTAAAAATTTCTGAGCGATATATTATATTTTCTATGAAATTCAATTCTGAAAAAATTAAAATTTTTACTTAGCAAAATCATCTTTTGGGAATTTAGTAAAAATTACTTTAAGAAATTTTAATTCTGATAATTAAGGGGAAAAAATATTATATGCTATAGCAACCTACATGTACTGTAATTAAGCGGCTTAAGCTTCATAATTATTGCTTGAAAAAGTTTAGCAAATTTCATGCTTAAGGCTGCGTCTCAATATTAGATAAATCAGATTTTATCAAATTTTTGAACTAATAAAAAAGATCGTAAAATCATAGATTCAAATTATTTTGAATTAGGGAAATCCCTTATTTCACTTAGATGTAATTTATTTTTGAATCGCCATTAAAAGTTCAATGAAGGTAATCTAATAGCTTATAACTCTTGGTAGTGACTGGTAAAATTGATTGATGAATTTATAAATATTGAGAACTTCGGACAATAAATATTAGCGCATTCCAGATATCAATTATGCCAATAAGTAGGCAGCTAATGAATTCATTGATTAATTATTAATAAAGCCTGAGTTCCTTTCTTGCGATTTTTGTAAAATAAGACTTCGAGGAAAAGTGTTGGATAACAAAATAAATTTATTCCAGTAATAAATTATATAAACCAAATAGTTCATTAATCATTATATAAATTCATTAAAAGAAAATTAATAACCATCATTGAATCAATCTTACAGAGTTGTTAAAGTAGCCCGCTATTTTTTTTGGTAGCTATAGCTAATAGCGGCTACTTTTTTTGTAATTATTTAATTTTTTAGCTCGCTACTTAGCTACTTTCAAAAAAGTATAATGAAGGTAAGTATAAACATGAAAATTTAAATATAATATCATAATGAATTATAATTTTTATTATTTAATTTTGAAATTGAAATATATTTTCAATTTGTAATTTATATTTCATTTGTATTATAAACCTAAATCACGTGTTAATAATTTAGAATGTCATCGCCTATGTATATCCAAATCGTTGAAAGTGATTCAGACAATGATATTAATGAAATGGAGGGAAGAAAATGTTCATAATAGCTATAATACAAATTTCTTATTCCCTAGATTTGAAAAATTTAAATTAACATAAAAACCAAAACTGGCTTCAAATTTATTTTTTAAAATGTAAAAAAAATATTTCCTCAAATCAATCCAGTTATAACCTCAAGAAGCACCTAAAGGTAAATTGTCATTTTTTCATTCTAATAGTATTTATTTATAAGACTGTTCATGCCAATAGCTTTAAGGAAATGGAGAAACATCTAAATAATTTTATATAGGCGACTCTACATCCAAAAAGACTAATTCTTCAAACCGAATTAATTAATAATACAAATGCCAATATTTCTCAGAAATTGGCTGATAAAGTTATTGTGTATTTTATAATTGTTACAATTCAGCCAAATGCCTTTGGTTGAAAATCCATCATTTACCATGATGATTAAAACTATCCCCTGGTACAACAATTTTATGTTACCAGACACTAATGAATTAGCAGATAACTTTAAAGTGATGAAAGATGCTCTAATAGTAGAGTTATCAGAGATATCATATATATGTACCACGGCAGATAGTTGGACACATAACATTAGGTAAAAACTTATAAAATGAAACAAATTACCATAAATATTTATTTTTATTAAATAAATTATTTTATAATCAAAACTAACTATATTTTAATATTTATAAATGTTGATTTTTATATATTTACTATACAATAACAATATAAGCAAAAAATAAAAATTTGTTTCTAAATTTTATTTTATAAAAATTAGCTTAAAAAATAGCTAATAGCTCGCTACTTTTTTTGACAAATAGCGGTAGCGCGCTACTTTTAAATGTAGCGATTAACAACTCTGCAATCTTGTACTCATTTTTTAAAAATATTATTCAATATATTTCAAAATAAAATAGTCATTATTAGCGATTATCACGATATCTACCTCGCGATATTAAATTCGCTACAATATCTTAGCGAAATAGATTTCGCTGTTATTAATGTTGATTCGCGATAAAGGCTTTGCTTTACTATTTCACGATAGGAGTTTCGCTAAATTGACATGAACCCACTTTTCTAATATCCTTTCTCTTTTTGCGATCCTGGGTTTCACCACTGGTTAAATCTACCACTTCATCCAGATTAAGATAATCTTGATTAATCATCCTTTAATATGGACCAGTGTATGCATGACAGAAAATTTATTGGCGAGAAACCCCACACAAAAATGTATACCTATTATAGGTTGCAAATTGACGGGTTTTAACCTGAACGCCCGCTTGCCTATTGCTTTTAAAAATTTTAACTCGCTTACCCGCCCATAGATTATTTTTTGAATTCATCCGCCCTCCCATTTATCTAAAAAATTTGTTTAAATGAATTTATTTATTAATTAGCTTGTTTCTTTATTTCAATGTGTTTTTACTTAAACTTGTAAAATATGCATTGTTACTGTAATATTTTCAAA